GCCATCAATAAGTGGACAAAAGACATGAACAGATGTTTTTCAAAAGACATACAAATGGCCAAGAAACATATGAAAAAAATGTTCAACATCACTAATCATCAGGGCAATGCAAATTAAAACCACAACAAGATATCACCTAACCCTGCCAGAATGGCCATTATTAATAAGTCAAAAACCAATAGATGTTACACATATGTAGTGAAAATAGAACACTTATACACTGTTGGTGGGAATGTGAATTGGTACAACCTCTATGAAAAACAGTACAGAGATTCCTCAAGGAACTAAAATTAGACCTACCATTCAATCTGGCAATTCCATTACTAGGTACCTATCCAAAGGAAAAGAAGTCATTATATCAAAAAGAAACCATCACCTGAATGTTTATCATAACACAATTCACAACTGCAAAGATATGGAATCAACCTAAGTGTCCATCAACCAATGAGTGGATAAAGAAAATATTTATATATATTTTCTTACATATATGTATATGTGTGTGTATATATATATATATATATATACACACACACACACACACATACACACACACAAATGATGGGTATATATGGACATAAGGTGGAACAATGGACATGGGAAACTAAGAAAAGAGGAGGGTGGAAGGGGGGTGAGGTATTAAAAATTACCTGTTGGATACAATATACACTATTCTGATGAAGGTATAGTAAAATCCCTGACTTCACCACTATCCAATTCATATATGTAACAAAAAATACTTGTACCCCGCTAAATCTATTGAAATAATAATAAAAAAATGACATAATAAATTTAAAAAATTAAAAACAAAAGACAAATAAATAAATGGTGCTGGGAAAATTGGATATTCACATGCAGAGGAATAACACTAGACCCCTAGCTCTCAACATATATGAAAATCAAGTCAAAATGGATTGAAGATTTACATGTAAGTCCAGAAACTATGAAACTACTAGAAGAAAACATAGGGAAAACAATTCATGACATTGGTCTGGGCGAGAATTTTTTGGATAAGCTCTCAAAAGCATACGCAACAAAAGCAAAAAGAGGCAAATGAGATTACATCAAACTAAAAAGCTTCTGCATAGCAAAGGAAATAATCAGCAGAGTGAAGATACAACCTACAGAGTGGGAGAAAATATTTGCAAACTACATATCTGCCAAGAGGTTAATATCCAGACTATATAAAGAACTTAAATAAATCAATAGAAAAAAATAATCTGATTTAAAAATGGACAAAAGACCTGAACAGACCTATCTTCCTCTCAAAAGAAGACATACAAATGGCGTACAGGTATTTTAAAAAGTGTTCAACATCAATAATCATCAGGGAAATCAAGACCACAGTGAGGTATCATTCCAGTTAGAATGACTACAATTGGAAAAAAAATTAATAAATAAAAAATTAAAAAAAGAATGGCTGGCCATTATTCTATTCTTCTTTTGCAAAGTTTCTTTGCCCACTTTTTAATGGGGTTATTTGATAACCAAAATGTTTGTTCCCCCATAATATCCTGAAATTTAAAAAAAGAAAAAAAAATTAAGAAAAGAAAAAAGAAGAATGGCTACAATTGGTCCTCCATATCCAAGGGTTTAGCATCTGAGATTTAACGAACCACTGACTGAAAATATTCAAAAAAAATTGCATCTGTATTGAATATGCACAGACTTTTTTCTTATCATTATTCCCTAAACACTACAATATATTAATAACAACTATTTACATAGCATTTACATTGCATTAAGTATTATAAGAACCTAGATATGATTTAAAGTACAGGTACATGTCAGAGATATTGCAGGATTAGTTCCAGATCACCGCAATAAAGCGAGTATCACAATAAAGCAAGTCACATGAATTTCTGTTTTCCCAATGCATATAAAAGTTATGTTTACACTATACTGTAACCTATTCAGTGTACAATAGCATTATGTTTAAAAATAACAATGTATATACCTTAATTAAAAATACTTTATTGCTAAAAAATGCTAACAATCATCTGAGCCTTCAGCAAACTGTAATCTCATTGCTGGTGGAGGGTCTTGATGTTGGTGGCTGTTGACTGATCAGGGAGGTGGTTGTTGAAGGCTGGGGTGGCTGTGGCAATTTCTTAAAGTAAGACCACAATGAAGTTTGCTGTATTGATTGCTGCAGGAAAGATTTCTCTATAGTATGACATGCTATCTGATGGCATTTTGCCTACAGTAGAATTTTCTTTCAAAACTAGAGTCAATCCTCTCAAACCCTGCTGCTGCTTTATGAACTAAGTTGGAAGAGGGAGCAAGGAAAATTCAGATACCAAATTGTGATCATGGTAATGAAGAAAAATATCAGGAAGGATACAAGAAAGGCAGAAGGGTGGAGAGAGGAATGGAAACCAAGCTAGTTATCTGAGACCGGGTATCCAGCAAGATAAGTAGGGATAGCGTGTTTATCAAGAAATAATTCTACGAAACATAGAGGCTGGGCGCGGTGGCTCACGCCGGTAATCCTAGCACTCTGGGAGGCTGAGGCGGGCGGACTGTTGGAGCTCAGGAGTTCGAAACCAGCCTGAGCAAGAGTGAGACCCCGTCTCTATAAAAAATAGAAAAAAAAATTAATCAGACAACTAACAATATATAGAAAAAATTAGGTGGGCATGGTGGCGCATGCCTGTAGTCCCAGCTACTCGGGAGGCTGAGGCTGAGGCAGAAGGATTGCTTGAGCCCAGGAGTTTGAGGTTGCTGTGAACTAGGCTAACGCCACGGCACTCTACCCCGGGCAACACAGTGAGACTCTGTCTCAAAAAAAAAAAAAAAGAAAGAATTCTATAAAACATAGAATCTACAATACACTGATTCTATAAAACAAGGTCAAATCCAAGAGAATAACAAAGGTAAATCCCACTGTGATAATTATGTAGGAATAGGCCCACAGATCAATCATTCAAGCAATTTACAGACAAAACGCAGAAGACAAATACAGATTTAGAACAGATAGATTTCAAGATTTTAATCTTGAAAATCCAAAAGGAAAATAACAGAAGACAAAATTTGAGAGGTGAAAGAAGAAGAATGGAAGGAAGGGCAAGGGCTAATATCTTCACCTTATAAAGTACAGAGCCAAAAGACACTATCTACGGTTAATGGGAAACTAAATAAAAGCATACCATACTAAGTGTTCATTATGACTGTATAGAGAGCATCCTGAAGTAATAGGAGTGCTAATTCTTGCTATTACTAAGAATTTTTAGAAGCTGTTCATTTAACTGTATAATACAATGCTTAAGGTGATCCTTAAAAAAGAAAAAGTAAATTTTTTTAAGCTACATGGTAACCAACATAGGAACCAATAATGGTGATATCATTAAAGAGGAAGAAGACAGAGAGAAAAGGGGTATAGTGAAAATAGCCTAATGCGTCATGTATCAGAGCAGGAAATCAAAAGATAACAATGTCTAAAATTGATAAGTCAAGAAACAGATAAAAGCATATTATTTAGAGATATGGAGATCATCCCCAGAAGAACTAAACGGAAACAATTAAAATTTATAAGCGATTCCCTGAGGAAACAGAACTAGAAAGGGGGAGAAATGGGACAGAAGACTACTGTTTTCATATATTAAAAAATTTCAGTACTAATTACATTTTTAACCATGTGAATGATTTACTTTGATCACTTCTTTTACATTAATAATTTTTTTTAAAAAAAGTAGCAATCTAATCTGTTCTACTACCTCAGACAGGTGAAATTCTTTTATATTTTAATGGTTTCCAGAAAATGGTCTAATAATGCAAGGTAGACAAGTCGGCATGCCCTAAATTTCTCATTTAATGTTGTATTTGATAAATTAATATAAAGTGATTCTATAGAATATAGTGTTGAGAACTCAGAATATTGTCCTGAGATGTGGCCCCTCCTGACATGTAATGGTAAAAACACACAGTCCATAGTCCAAAAGGCACTATTTACCCACCTGTCACATCTTTACTACCCATGTTCTTTATTCCTCTTTTTAAGAACAGAGAGACTTTAATATGCTGTTCACCACAAGTACAGGTCCCAGAGAGAAAATTCCTGGTGAGATTACCAATACTAACCAATCAAAGCTATTGTTATTTGCACACTTAAGCTAGAGCTTCCGTACTGGTAATTGTGGCAGAGAAGGGCTGATGCAGCCTAGACAGCTGATGTGGATGGTGGGCTAAGGTCAATGGTAGGCCTTACATTGCTATCCATCTGAAGTCACAAACCTGTGATCCTGGAGTTCCAGCCAGCCCACAGACACATGTGGTTTAGACTGCATAATGGTTACCAACACTATGTTTTTAATTTTGAAAAAGCAGCAACATCTAAAACTGATAGAATTCATATAAAAATTCAGACTTCCACCTTCTCTCCATAAATCAGTAGAGGCAGATACCCAGATGGGGTATCCCAATTTGTCACAACTAGCATGCTTCCCTCATTTATGTTACCAGTCTGGCCCTTGTAGGACATTTGCATTTCTGCCCCTTGCTATAAAGGAGATTACATGTTGACACTCCATGCCAAGAGTCTTTGAGGTAGGACTCTTACACTGAGGTGGCAATGGGAAATACACCACTGACAATGGATCTCAGCAACAGTGGTTCCAGAAGGGGCTTACTTAGCAGTAGTAGTGGACAGCAGTCATTCCTATCTAAAAATTACTTCTAAATAGCCAGGTATTCTAAAGCACTGAATTCTCTTTATTGGGGTATCGCATAAGAGCTGCCTATAAAGAAAAACTATGTAAGAATTATTGTATATGCCTAAAGATTAAGAATTTCTATGCATGCCTATTTGACCACCACTTATCTCCTGCCAATTGCCTTACTTTTAATAGAACCAGGATTGAATGACAGATAAGAAAAGTGGTAAATGCCAGTGATCAATATCTTAGGAGATAACAACTAAGAGCCAGAAATAAAAACTAAAGTACAAAGTCTAATGATTAACACTGTAATCTATATTTTGAGTAAAATTATCATCATTTACTTACATTTTAATGTCTCCCCTGCATATGGTATGTGCAGTTTAAATCGGTCACAATTGGGTCCAGGAGTCAATGATGTGCAGCTTTGAAAAAACAAAAGGAGAAGAGAGAAAAGATTTTTTTAAAACAAACTTTAAAAAACTCACAAATTTATAATATTTAATAAAGTAAATAAAAAGCAATCCTTATACATAGAACACTTTCTTATAGAACAAAATAAAAGTCTTCCATGGTCATGGAGGCCAAGACAGTAAGACTTTCCCTAAAGCAAATAATTTATTTATCTCACAATAAAACTTATATGCCAACTTACAACAAACACCAACAATGCTTCAACTACTTCTCTCAAGGAAGTGTATCGTGACTTTTAAAAGTAGGTGTATCATCCAAAACAGGTCTCTAGTCTTGTGTCAAGAACTGTAAAAGAGTAGCTTTATGATCATATTTTAAATATGGGCTTTTAGCTTTCACTCTGTTATTTACAAAAAAGAGCCCACTTTTGGCCTTTTTCTGATACCAAATGGTTTTCTTTCCTTCCTCAAAGGTAGAGTGCTTCCTCTAGAACTGGCATACCATAACTTTCATCTGCAGAAGGGCACAATGCATTGCACTCAATTTCAGACAAAATGCAAATTTAAAACTGGGGGGGGGTGGTGCCTTTGTTAAGTCATGTCTCAACAGTTTGGTTTTTTCAATCTATTACTTCACAAAGTTATGCAACATTCTTTGCTCTTTACAACAATTTATTGTACAAGATAAATTATGATCTTACAAGTCACAACTTCAACTGCATAACAGCAGTATTGGCTTTGTAAGTTAATAAAATACTAATATGAAGTCAACTAAGAAAATAACATGTCTTCATTTAGTTTTTAAAAAATGAGATTTTTAATTTATAAAGTAAAGTAAGGAGGCTAATTTTCCAAAACTGGCTCTGAAGCAATTCTGAAAAAGAACCTATACAAGTATCCTAACGATGGAAGCACAGGTGGAATAAACGTACAACTTCCCCAGATGGCCACTCTGAAAGGCAACAGTCATTTGAAAATAAATTTGAGAAATGTTGGCTTTAAATAAACTAAACTCAGACATCGTATTAGATTTACTATCACTTTTTCCCAAAACTGTATGAATGTGAAAAAGAACCAAATAGAAACTTCAACTCAGATGTATTTAACATAAATCACTAGGTTGATTATTCCTCTTTATCTTTAGGGGCCAACAAAAATACCAGCTTATAAACTAAACAACAAAGTTGCACTACCAATTGAATAGTAATTTTATTTTTGTACAAGTTTTAAGGATATATTCACCCTTTCCTTTCAATATGAAAAAATCCTTTTGGCACATTTTAAAAAAGATACTAAAATATTTCCCTTACAGTATAATTTTTGCTAACCCACAGCACAGTAGTTATTTTTAAAGATTGGGTGCAGTAGCTCATGTATATAATCCCAGCACTTTGGGAGGCCAAGACAGGAGGATAGCTTGAGGCCAGGAGTTCAAGACCAGGCTGGGCAACACAGCAAAACTGATCTCTATAAAAAATTTTAAAATTAGCCAGGCATGGTGGCACATGCCTGTAGTTCTAGGAGGCTGAGTAAGGAGGACTGCTTAAGCCCTGGAGTTCAAGGCTGCAGTGAGCTGTGATTGTACCACTGCACTCCAGCCTGGGTGACAGAGCAAGATTCTGTCTCAAAATAAATAAATGAAAATTAAAAGATAAAAAGACTTATGTAAAACACATAAATTCTGCCATTATAAATTATAAGGTTTAATCTAATGACAGTAATGATCCTATAAGCAACACTAAGAATTTTTTCTCTTTCATTATATTCAATCTGCGATGCTTTAAAATGATGAAAAGTATTTTGGAAATAAGGTAGCCAGAAGAAAAGAAAAGGAATAAGAAAAAGAATAAAATGATGAAAAATAGCATTCATAATCAAGTATCTTTTGGGGGATTGGAGATCAAATTATCTATCTGCATAGCTTAAAGACTGAAGTTAGTACAGGAAATCATCAGGAGTAATCTGATTCTAGTTTGATAACTCACTCCTTCAATGTGCAATTGTTTTGTTTCTGAATGTTTACATTCACTGTTGGGCTGCACTTTATATTATTTATCTTTTAACACATTAACTTTCATTTGAGTTGTATTTAAGGTAGGCTAGTTTTGAGCCCGGGTCCTCCTGAAGCATATGTACCTCACACATCGTTTTACCTTGGGAGCCACGTGGTATGGAGGCAACTCACGCTGCCATGCTGTTAGCATATATGTTACGTGATGGGTGTCCCCCTGGGCAAAACCCTGCCGTCGGTTTGTGAAAATCTTACTTGCTGATGTTCTTATTGTTACAATATTCACAATTTAATTGCATATAACTCACGCACAGAAAACAATAAAAAATAACAAATTTGTCATTAAATCAGATTGTTTTGTTTTCAAAGTTTTTATTCTATTTTCGTAATAAAACACCATGGCCCCAAGGAAAAAAATTTTTTTTCTAGTGTGGCAGTCAATGTGCTAAAAAAATGTTTTTAGAGACAGTGTCTTGCTATGTTGCACAGACTGGAGTACAGTGGCTGTTCCAAGAGCGACGCCTCAAGCAATCCTCCTGTCCAGCCTCCCGAGTAACTGGGACTACAGGCATGTGCCACAGCAACCAGCTATTTACTGTATGCTTTATCCAGGACTGGGAAAGTGTTTTTGTGCCCTGTCACTTCGCCTTGCTCCCTTACCATATCAATGGCTGGTTCTAGCAACCTCAGGGTGTTAAAAAGTATGTATCTGCATCTGAGTGATTCATTCACTGATTATTTTGCATTTAGCTAAGATTTACTGAGCATTGTTCTAGGTGTCAGGAATGCAGGATGGACAAGACAGACAAGAGCTACAGTCTCATGGTACTTAAAATCTAGAGAGGGAAGAAGAAATGATAAAAATAAGCAACAAATACATAAGATGGTTTAAGATTGTTAAATGCTATGAAGAAAATAAAACAGAGTGCTGCAATAAAACAGGAGCTACTTTACACTGGAAGATCAGGAAAGACCTCTGGAGGAGGTGAAATCTGAAAACTGAGTAACACAAAGAGGCCAACCATGCAAAGTTCTGGGAAAGAGCATTCTAGGCAGAGGAAACAGCTGGTGCAAAGGCTCATGAAAGCAGGAACAAGCTTGATGTATCTGGGAAAGAAATCTTGATATATCTGGGCAATGCAGCTGGAGCAGAATGAATGAGGGAGAGAAGAGCAAAAGATTAGGAGAAGTCATAAGCAAGGGATAGATCACATGGGAATTTGTAGGCAGTGGTAATTAATTCAGCTTTTATGCCAAGCGGAAAGGAGGATTTTGAGCAGAAGAGTAATACTATCTGATTCTATGTTTTTAAAGACCACTTTCTCTACTGTATAGAAAAAGAGACTGTTAGAAGTAAAATGGAAACAAGTAGACCATATAGGAGACTATTTCAGGCAAGAAAGGCAATGGATCCTTGGACTAAGGTAGTAGCAGAATAGACAGAGACAAATGGATTCATTGAACAGGGATGACTAGGAGAGGAGCAAGCGTAGGGAGAAGGGAAATCAAGAGTATGAAATGTGATATGATAGCCATTCTATGGAAACAGAGTCAGCTTCATCAGTGGGCTAGCCAATCCATAACAGCCACTAAAAGTTCACAGAAAACATAAAAATTTACCAAAACTCACCTTGGAGAGAGTACTATATAACGTTGGATAGATTACTTCCTTAAAGTGGGCACGGGGGCAGAGGAGAGTAATACTCCCCAAGAGCACACTTAAGTCAAAATGGATAATCTCCAGTGAGCTGCAGGGCTTCTGCTTTGCTGAGAAGAATATACAAATTGGAGGCTAAAAGCTGAACTGGTCAAAGCAACAGAGGAAAGCTGCTATCAGTAGATCTCTTTCTCTTTGTCCTAAGCAGAACTCAGATTCTCCTCCAATGAAATGTTGAGCAAATTATTCAAAATACCTGTTATGCTCTATCCCTATTACCTAGGATAAATAGGTTTATGGTAAATATGCCAATGCCATGTACCTAAAGCTTCTGTTAAGATTAAACTAAAACGTTTCCTCTTCTTAAATTACCTCTAAAAATGATTTTGGTCACGTTACTTAATTTACTATGAAAATTCAAATTGCACCCAAGGAAGGCATTGGTTTTTCTGTTAATTAAGAAAGAGCATGGGTTTTAAAAGATTGAAAAACATGTACATAGCATGATTTCACCTGTGGGAAAAAAAGAGATCTGGGTATGAAATTACCTACACACATAAACAGATTTCAGAAGGAGAGTCACCAAAACATAGCAAGATTTAGGGTGATTTTTTATACCTTTCTTCTGATTACCTTTCTGCACTGTTTTTTAATAATGAACATGAACTATTTTACAATTATAAAAATATTTTAAGGCTAAATACATCCTTTTATATTTGACTAAGGAAAGTTGGTTATAATGGCCTGATTTATCTTTTTCTTCTAAAATACTTCACTACTTTTCAGAAGGAAAGAATGCAGGGTTATATACCGATAAACAGTCTTCAAGTAAAGTATATGGAGGTCTTTCTTTATATTGCATTATCACAAAACTTCGCATTTCTAACATTATTATCTTTCACAGTTTCTTTGGTTCAGAATTTTTGGAATCCCTTGGCTAGGCAGTTCTGTCTTTAAGGTCTCTCGAAGTTGCAGTCAGAAATCAGTAACAGATAACTAATACAGCAGGGAAATTCATTCAGCTAGAAAGGTATTTCGTTACACAAGTATGAAAAAAACTACTAAAGAAAAAGCTACTGTCTTCATTAAAATTATATTTGTATAATGGCAACTTGTCCTCACACATAGTTAGATCCAAGGTTTAAAAAACCAATATTCCAAACTAAATAAATATTAATCAAAATTTATTTTTAAATGATTTAAAAATTGCTGACAGTTACAGTTTAATCTCAAATTTGTTCCTCAACTCTATTTCATCAGTGCTCAGTACATGTCCAGCACTGTGCTAAGTGCTGAGAAGACAGCAGTGACAAGAACAAAAAGCATATCTTGGCATTAGAATAT